TTTTGTTTTCTTAATGTTGCTGTTGTTATTATTATCATTATTATCATCATCTTTATCACTAGCATTATTATAATTATCATTATCATTATCATTATGATTATTATTATCATTATTATTATTATTATTATTATTATTATTATTATTATTATTATTATTACCATTACTATTATTATTATTATTATCATTATTATTATTATATTTATATTATTATTATTATTATTTATTATTATTATTATTATTATTATTATTATTATTAATCATTATTAATATTATTAATATCATTAGCATCGATGTTGTTATTATTAGCATTACCATTATTATCATTACTGCTCCGATTATTATCATCTTTATCATTATCATTAATAGTCTGATCATTACCATTATCATTACCGTTACCATTACGATACCTATTGTTATTACTATTATAATTAATGCCATTATCATTATCATCATCATCGCCATCATAACATAATATAATTATTACTCTTCTTATCATTATGATTATTATCATCATTATACTATTATTCATTATTATTATCATTATTATTATCATTATTGTTTTTGTTGTAGTTGTTTTCATTACCATTGTCGTAATCAATATTATTATCGTTATTATCATTATCATCATAATAATTTTTATCATCACTTAAATTATTAACATTATTGTTATTATTATCATTATCATTATTATTGTAATTGTTGTTGTTGTTATTATCTTTATCATTATTATTATTATTATCATTATTATTATTATTATTATTATTATTATTATTATTATTATTATTATTATTATTATTATTATTATTATTATTATTATTATTATTATTATTATTATTATTATTATATATTATTATTATTATTATTATTATTATTATTATTATTATTATTATTATTATTATATATTATTATTAGTGTTGTTGTTGTTGTTATTATTATTATTATATTATTATTATTATTATTATCATTATTATTTATTATTATTATTATTATTATTATTATTATTATTATTATTTTTTTATCATTATTATTATTATATTATTATTATTATTATTATTATTATTATTATTATTATATTATTATTATTATTATTATTATTATTATTATTATTATTATATATATTATTATTATTATTATTATTACTGTTGTTGTGTTGTGTGCTGTTGTTGTTATCATTATTGTTATTATTATTATTATCATTATCATTTTATATTATTATTATTATTATTATTATTATTATTATTATTATTATTATATTATTATTATTATTATTATTATTATTATTATTATTATTATTTTATCATTATCATTATTTATTACTATTATTATTATTATTATTATTATTATTATTATTATCATTATCACTATCATCATCATCATCATCCTTATTATTATCATCATCATTATTATCATTATCATTATCATTATTATTATTATCATTATTATTATTATTACTATCCTATATCACTACTATCATTATCATTAGTATTATCATTGTCATTATTAGTATCATCATTATCATTCACATTATAATCAGTGTTATCAGTGTTATCATTGTTATTATTATCATCATTATTTTTTTTAAGATTATTTTAGTAGTAGTAGTATCATTTTTTATCATTATCATTGTTATCATCATCATTATCATTTTTTATCATAGGTCTTATCATTATCATTATTGTTATTATTATTATCATATTATTATCATTATTATCATTATTTATTATTATTATTATTATTATTATTATTATTATTATTATTATTATTATTATTATTGTTATCATTATATATATTATTATTATTATTATTATTATTATTATTATTATTATTATTATTATTATTATTATTATAATTATTATTATTTTTATTATTATTATTATCATTATTATTACTATTAATAATATTATCATTATCATCATTATCATTCTCATTATCATCATTATCATTATTATTGTTATTACCATTATCACCATTACTGTTACCATCATTGTTATTATTGTTATGATTATTATTATAATTATCGTTATCATTACCATTATCTTTATTAGCAGTACTGTCATTATTATTGTCATTACTATTATCATCTTTACTATCAGTATTACTATCATTATTATCATTGTTGTTGTTGGTGTTATCATTATCTTTATCGGTACTATTAGTGTCATCGCCATCATTACCATCATAATTTTGCTGTTCTTGTTGTTGTTGTTGTTATTATTATCATTATTATTGTTATTATTATTATCATCCTTATTATATTATTATCATTATTATCATTATTATTACCATCATTGTTATTATTATTATCATCATCATTATTATTATTATTATTATTATTATTATTATTATTATTATTATTATTATTATATTATTGTTGTTGTTATTATTATTATTATTATTATTATTATTATTATTATTATTATTATTATTATTATTATTATTATTATTATATTCATTATTATTATTATTATCATAATTATTGTTATTATATTATTAGTAGTAGTAGTAGTAGTATCATTACTTTTATTATTGTTATTGTTATAACCGTTGTCATTATGCTGTCATTATTGTTTTTGTTATCCTTATCATTGATATTGTTATTATTTTATTTTTTATCATTATCGTGATTCTTGTTATCAATATTATTGTTATCATTAATATCATTATCATTATTGTTATATTCATTGCCATCATTATTATCATGATTATAACTGTCATCATCATCACTACTACTAATGATAA